CAAGCTAGACTTACACAGTGACTATCCCTGGGCTCACCTGTATTAGAGATGATAAGGATGGCACAGGAGAGGGGAGGGTTCAGATCCATTGTTGAAAGGGTCACTTTAAATTGTAGTCCACTTGATGACAATTAACAACAAATGTGATGAATTCTCATTTGGTTGAGGGAGAAATCATCCTGCCCTCCAGGGTTCCTTTTGCTCAACATCTAGACCTCGTTCTGTTTGTGACTTTGTTGTCTGCACAGGGTAAATGTGATAACCAAATCACGGGTCTGACCAGGAAGATTCCCATGGACAAGAATGTTGTTGGTTTTAGGTGCCTTGGAGCCAGCTCTATTTCCTGATAAAGATGTTGTCAGCTGTCATGAGTTGGCAGAAAAATCTGCCCAGCTCTGCATCCTTGCTATTTTTGTGGTTCCATTATTTATAAATATAAATATAAATGTATATTTTCTGGAGGAAAGATTTAGGAGTTGTTAGTTCATCAGGAGTCGAGTTATCTTTAAAAACACACACACACACACACACACACAAAAACAAGTACTAGCTTCTCTGTTAGGTCCAAGGTCAAGGGGGAGAATAAAGAATTCAAAGAATATGACACATCAACAAAAGGAGTGAGGCCACCTGGCTGAACCATTAACCACAATGGAATGTTCCTCCCTTCCCTCCCTGAAGACCCTGGTATAAAAACCTGCCCCAGGTCTATCTCTCTCTCCAGACCAAGGAACCTCACCCAGGAGCTCCCTTAATAAAGTTGCCTTTAAGCTTTCTTTCTCTCTGGTTCCTTTCTCTGAATCCTACAGCTTCCTAGCATGTAAAACCAGTTGCCACCTCATTCACAGACACACACACCCTGGTCGAGTTGGAGCCAACTCATAACTGACCCTCCTTTAGGCTTCCAAAGCTAAAAATCGCACAGCAGGAGATGGCCCCTTTATTCTGCACAGAGGGGCAGCCCTGGAGGCCTACTGTTACAGAATTGTGCTTCTGACTTAAAGCAAAATGTTCTAAAACTTGAAAAAAAAAAAAAAAGAGTTGCTCTCCCAACCCAAAGGTATAAGTTAGAATCTACCAGTTGCTCTACAAAAGAAAGAGGGGCAATCTCCTCCCTTGTGATCTACTGCCTCTGAAAACATGATCGAGGGTTGGTTCTGATTCCACAGTGCATAATAAGATTATCTGTAATAATCTCGTTTTTTAATATTTTTCTGTTCATAAGAAATTGAAAGCAAATCTGCAAAAGCTAGTTAGTTACACACTCTACTACCTGAATTTCTCCTCACTCTCCACTCCCTACTAACTCACTGCAAGTCAGAACCAAGTCACAGATGACCCTCCATTGAGTTTCTGAAGCAGTAAATTACATGTGAAGACATGGTCCATCTTTCTCTGGAGGAGAAGCTGGTGAGCTTGAACCAGCAGGTTGGTGGGGCCTCTATAAATGAGTTTACAGCATGACGCCCTAGGAATATACCACTAGAGCTCTCTCCTCACCCCACAAACACATACATTCTTTTCTTTATAGACTATTGCATTCCTTAGAGAAAGAATCCTAATTTATTCAGATGCTCTCTCTTTACCCCAGGTAAATGAGTTAAACTACCCAGATTGAAATGTTAATAGGATGCAAAGAGGTTTTAAAGCCAGGTTTAGAACCAGTTCATTCAGGTTCTCTCTCCTGCTGACAATGTGCCTTTCCATCCTGGATATCTGGAATCAGAATTTACATCTTAACAAGATCCCTGCAATACTGGAAACATACTTACACTACAAAATCATTTTTTGTTTATCTAAAATTAAATTTTAACTAGGAATCATGTAACCTTATCAGAACTCTGAAATGCTACTCTTGGGAAAAATTTAGCTACTTGTGGAAGCAGCTGAACAAAGCCCAAGTAACTGAAAGTTGCAATCATCATTTTCCTATAAGCAGATCCTGGTGGGGAGCAGGGTCTGACTAACTGTAAGTACTGCCTTTCTGAAAGTGAAATGGACAATCTCAAAACTACATGTATCACCTCTGTTAATAAAGAAAAGGCAAGTCTAGAGCTCTATTTGCAAAATAGACACAGGGTCTTGATGGGCTGGAATTTACTAGATGGCAACTGATTTAGAAGCTAGGAGGTTAGTACTTTTTATGTGTTAGTTCAAACTTTGGGTGTCCAATCATGTCCTAGAACCAACTCAGTAGTAGAGAGTTGAGTTTGAGTTGGATGAGCTGGCCAAGAAAATGGCATAGCCCTGAACCTGATAAAGTTTGTCTTCCGTATTTCTATGGCTCTAAGACATGGCTTATTGACTATGCAAAGGCATTTGACTGCGTGGATCACAACAAATTGTGGCTAACCTTGAGAAGAATGATAATCCCTGAATACCTGCTTGTGCTCATGCAAACTCTATACTTGGACCAGGAGGCAGTTGTCTGAACAGAGCAAAGAAACTCTGCATGTTTCAAAATCAGAAAAGGAATTCATCATACCTTCTCAATTTGTATGCAGATAATCTGGGAGGCTGGGCTTTATTAAGAGGAATGTGACATCAGGATTGGAGGAAGACTCAACAACCTGTATTATGCAGATGACATAACCTTTCTTGCTGATACTGAGGAAGACCTGAATCATTTGCTGCAAAAGGTCAAGGGCTGTAGTCTGCAATATGAATTGAAGTTCAACACCAAGAAAACTAAGATTGTCACTACTGGACACTCTGGCAGCATCATGAAAGATGGAAAAAAGGTTGAGATTGTTAATAATTTCAGCTTGCTCGGTTCCACAATCAACACTCTTGGCATCAGCAGTCAGGAAATCAAAAGACAAACTGTATTAAGAAAATCTGCATTCATGGACTTCTCTTGAGTGCCAAAGAACAAGGATGTCTGTCTAGAGACTACGGTGTGCCTGATCCAGGGTCTTCACAATTACATGTTATATATCAGAGAGCTGGACAATGACCAATGATTACAGATGAAGAACTGGTGCCTTTGAGTTGTAGTGCTGGAGATGAGAACTGAACATACCATGGACTGCCAAAAAAAAGGTCTATCCCAGGGAGAGTGAAAACCAAGCTGCTCCTTGGAGGCAAGGATTTTGAGACTGTGAGGGACCAGTCTTTGGAGAGGGATATCATGCTGGAAGGGTCAAGGGACAGTTCAGAAAAGGAAGATCTCAGATGAGACAGACTGACATAATAACTGGGGTAGTACAAGTTAGTGTGTCAGAGACAGTGAGATTGGCTCAGGACAGGGAACGGTTTTGAGCTATCATGCATAGGGTCACTATGAGTAGTAGTCAACTTGACAGCACATAACAACAAGAAGACATGGTTGGACAGTAGATGTAGATTATATAAAATCACATCTTCTAGAGGAAAGATTTATGAATTGTTAGTCCCATCAAGAATTAAATTTTTTAAAAAATAATTAAATTTAAATAAAGTTCATAAGGTACATGTTAAGTAGCTGTTCTTTCAAGTTGTAAATCCCCCTTTCATCTGCAAAGGTTGAGGGAGGATAAGGCAATGTAGAACAAGAAGCATCTTCACCGAGTGTCCCACAACAATTGAGACTAAACACAAGTTTTCCTATACGTACATAAACTTATCTTTTCACGCACAGACCCAAACCCAACCTACTGTTATCCAGTTAAATTCCTTCCCAAAGTGGCCATAGCTCTGACTGAAATAACCATAAGAAAACAAACCCAGGACATGGGGAGGAGCTGCTGAGCTCTCTGCAGAGGAAGCACAGCAAGGAGCCCTCACTTAGAGCAGAGCCAATAATTCTAGCCCCATCATGACTTTCACTGGAGCAACTCAAATTCCCCTACACAACTTGTGAGAAGTAACTAAATAATAAAACGCAGTAAAAAACTGTGGGAGAGAAAGTGGAAATCGGTTTAAATGGTGATGGACACTTGGATGGAGAAACCACCTTAGAGCTCTTTCCAAATCTAAGAGCCAGTGAGCTTTCAACAATCAAATGAGAATATGGGCCCTCTTTGTCTCCGGTATCTTCCTATCTACTCATAAAGAAAACCATATCATCACTTCAGTGTGTATGATCTAGACCTGTCCTTATCTCTCTAACTTTGGCTCTTTCTGCCACTCCACTCCAGTCACACTGGCCTCTTGCTGTTACACAGACATGATAGGCATCCCCTCACCCCAAAGCTGTACTCAGACCTTTGCAGATGCCATTCTTTCTAGTGTGAAACAATTCTCTCTTCCTTTAGGCCTCTGCTGCAATCATCTTAACAGTAACGCTTCCCCTAGTTCCTCTTCAGCATTCCCTGTCCTCCATTCACATCCATTACTCCTCTTCCTGCTTTTATTTTTCTCTACTGCACTTAATACAAGCTGGCATATATATTTTAGTTAAGCCTTGAAAAAGCCCACCTCCCTTCACAATATTAGCTCAATGAGGATAAGAATTCATTGACTGCTAAACCTTTGCAGTCTACTGAATAAATGCACCATTACTTGAAATTTTACTTAAAATTATTTGAGTGACAAAGTAGATTTCTACTAATAAAGTGAAGAGCAGAAGCTTCTGTGGAGAACAAGTAGGTTTGAGGTGGGGCTCTGAGGAGCTAGGAGAGAATACTTCCTTAAAGAATCTGTCTCAAAAGCCTCTTACCTAAAATTTTTGTTTCTAGTCACATATATACTTCCATATACTACTTAATTAATAATTTATTTTGTAGGACTTTTATTTTAGGGTTGTATACAAGGAGGATATGAAAATGATAACCTCTTACTGCAAATGCACAAACCTCATTCAGTGAGAAGTATATTCTTAAAAAAACACACCACCAGAAAACCCCACCCAAAGAAACAGTCTAACTCTCAAATATATGTCAGAAGCTTCAAAACAGTTCTTAGAAGCCAAACAAAATTAGAAGCTCTTTTAAATGGCCCTATGTTAACATTTTTATTCTCTCAGCACATTTTTCAAAACTTTAAAGCAAAAAAGGGAGAAAAACAAAGTTTGTCTTTACCTTGGGCTTTGGTCCCAGGCCCTGTCACTCTTAGTGATGAATCACAGGCTCCCTTGAGAGGTGATCTGATTGGTGTTTCAGCTTCAGGGGTCTCAAAATTACCTTCAGAATCCGAGCTGCCAAGGGGGAAAATGAGGAATTACCACTTTCAACGGCATTTCTGACACCCTCTATAATCTATATAGATTTAAAAAAAAAAAAAAAAAGCCAAGGTCCAGCATTTCTAACTTTATATCCAAGTGGTCCCCAGCACTCATCAGCCTTGCCAGAGGCAGCTAGCTGGCCGTGTTTCTCGGTCAGGAATCCTGTCTCTTCATATTCTCTTCAATTCTCTGGAGCTTTTTTCCTAGCACCGTTTATTTATTTATTTTTAGGTCATCCTTCCCGCTGACACTAATAAAAGTGCTTTCCAACAGACTTCTTTTCGCAGCTGAGCCTTGTACTATAAGTTTAAAAATTCTTATGCTTCCACCATCAAAAATAAACCAATTTTCACCATTATTATGCTATTATCATGCCTTTCCCCTCAGGAGGCCTCTACCTGTTTAGAATTCACTGGCCAACGCTGTCACCTGCCTTCTGCGATCACAGGAGTGACAGCTCAGCGGAGACCACCATCTCTCACCAGCTGCTAAGGGCCTGTCATCGCGCGACCTTCTTTACCACGGCTGCATTTTGGGGGCACGGTGGGGCCTCAACGGGCCAGGGGGTGACTTTTCCCCCACTGGAAAGGTTTTAAGTTCCACTGGATGCGATCAAAGGCACTGCCAACGTATATGTGTGTGGGTGTGTGAAGAGACAAGAAGCGGGAGGGCTGAAGCTTAGAGAAAGTGACCAAGGTAGAAGGGGATGCGGATGCACTGCAGCTTCTGGGCTAGGTTCAGAAAGCTTAGAATGAATGTCATGGGGAAAACACAGATACAGGAAGGCAGAACACTCGGAACTTTGGAATGCACAGAAGGGACCTGGTTATGGACAGGGACGATGCATTGCCATGAGAATGGTTACGCGGGTGGGCGACCACACACACGCAGACAGAATGAGCTGCGGATGAATGGATGGCAACACGTTTGCATCCCGACAGGGATGCTGTGTACTTGCCTGAAACTCAAGGATTTGGTCTCAGCTTGCGAGTCCTCCTCCTCCGGGTCCCCCTCGGGCCCTCCGGCCTCGTCCTCTCCGGCGCCCCCGCCTCGCACCGCAGACCAAGTCCATTTCGCCCACTGCACCGGGGACAGAATCTGCCAAGGGCTGAACGCCATCAACGCGGCTTCTCTGGCTCCAGATCCTAATGGGAGGGCAAGGGGAGAGCCTTTTTCCCTTTCAAAATGGAGGGAACCGGTGACAGGCGCCCCTAAGCGTTTCCAGTGAAGGCGCGGATGTGGTTAAACGAGCGCCGTCGGGTGCCCGGGTGGAGCGCTTCCTCTCGGCCGGCAGGCAGCGCCGCTTCCTCCTCGTCCTCCTTTCCAAACGGTGCGGTCAGAGCGCCCCCCGCGCTGTCGCCCGGCCAGGCTTCTCGCGCAGGGAAGATGCTCCTGGCTGGGGCCTCAGGGCTCCCGCGCGCGGCGCCCGGCGGCTCGGCCTCCGCGTCTCTGCGTCTCCAGGTTTCTGGGTCTGCGGCTCGCGCCTCCCAGCCCGCCGGGCGCGCATCAGCTGCCGCCAGACCGCGCCCCAGGAGCCGCCCCCTCGGACCGTACTACTTGGCGCGCGCGGGCAGGGGCGGCGGCAGCGCTGGCGCTTTGAAGTCTGCGAAGCACCCAGCGGATCCCCCCGCCGCAGCGCGGCGCTGGTCGCGACTCGACTGCGGGAAAGGGGCTTTCCAGGCTGCGACAGTGGGAACTGCTGGGCGGACGACCCTGGCGACCCGGTGCCACTCTGCGTATTAGGGGCAGAGGAAAGCTGTTTTCTGAGTCTGCATGCTGGGCTTTTTTTTTCTTGGTCCTTTTTTATTTTTTCATCCTGATTCTGTAACTTAATGGCGTTGCTGATCTTGGATTGCCCCTTGGAAAGTTCAGCCCCTTATTTTTTTTTTTAAACACACCACGGTGGAGCCATTGTTGACTGATTTTTTCCCCCTCCAGCAAATACCGAGAGGGTGGAAGATTTCAGCCTGTTCATCTTCAACTCTAACACTGCAGGGCTTTGGAAATCCCTCAGCAACTCTTGAGTGGCCAAGGACAAGAATTTAAGATTCTTTGCCCTAGAGGCTCTGAAGTGTCCAGGGCTTGGGTAAAAGGTGTTAAGTTACCCTATAGCCTGTTCAGTTTCCCATTCTCCTTTTTGAGGCTTTCTTTTCAAAACTTAAAAATTGCCTCAGGTATTTTATTTCTGACGTGGTTTGTCGCCTCAGAAGAAAGTCAACAGGCCTGGTGAAGGCATCCTTAAAAACGCCCTTTAAGTTTGAAGGGAAATATAGAGGTCTCCTCAGATTTTCTTGATTTCCCTTTTAGGATTTGCCCCTCTTACCATCAGATCTTCCTCTTCTAAGTGAACTGTCTTTCCAATTCCTTATATTACTAAAATTTCCCAACATTGTGGTGGATCCTTGAGGTGGCTGCAGGTTCCCAGAAAGCAACTTCAGAATACGGGACAAGGTCATGCTGAAACTGCTAGAGACTGACTCTCCGGAGAGGGGTTGGCACACATATTGCTGATGAATCATGACTATTATACACAGTTGATAAGCAAAAGCAAAAATAATGCAAGATAAGACTTGGCAGGTTGTTTTGCCATAACAAAAGATCAAAGATGTGCTAGAAGCTTAAAAAAACAGAAGAGCTAAGATGTCTGAAGGCCTGGGGATTCACCCACCTCCTCAGAGATAAACAAAACTGACATGAATGTTCTGGGGATTACAAACCTATGAAATAAAGCAGGATCCAACCTTTATGCACATGAGATATATCACAAAATAACCCTTTTTTTTAGATTTTTTTTCCCTTCAGGTATATGCTCACCAAGTAAATCTGAGAATTACACCCATTCCTTCTTTCCTGACATGGTTAGATTCCAAAAGGCCGGGTAGTTATTAAAAAATCAGTACTATGCAAAAATGGAGGTTGAGCACATCAGATCACAAAATGCAGGCTGACTACATCATTACATGACTGTTAAATTTCATCATTACTTAATTGCCAAACCACTGAGAAGTATGGCCTAGTTAAGCTGACACATAACCTTAACTATCACAGCCAGTATTACTCTCACCTTGCACATCAGTGTTGGTTATTGCCAGATGTAGAGTTAATGTGTTAAATAGTTGGACAGATGATATTTTACTAAAATCACAAATTTTAAATACTGAATAATGAGATAAGCAAGGAAGTATGATCCTCTCAGACTTCTGGATTTGACATAAGTATTCTGATACCCAGAAATAAAGCAGGCATATATTAGGTGCTAGTCATTCCTTCTCCTGTATATTTTTCTAATCTTTTCTTCCTTTGCATCCTCACTGTGATTGACATAGTCCTGACACTCCCTGTTTTTTGACTATTACTCTCCCAACTGGTTTGGGGAGATTTTTAAACTAGGGTTACCCCTGCCTGGCTGATCTGTAAGTAATGTTCTCTTCTTGTTTTTCCTTTCTCCCTAAACTCCCATTCAATTATATTCTTAGTTGCAGTGAATTGGAAAAAAAATTGGTTCTGTGGCTTTACAATGCCTAAGAATGCTCTGGAGGTGCTTCTTAAAAAAGATTCTCAGATCCATGAGTCTAAATTGCAAGCAGGATCTGGAACTCTGTATTTTTGTCAAGTACCCTAAGGAATTTTTACCACAAATAAAAATTCAGAAAAATGTCTAGCTTAAACCAGCTAATTGAGGCTTCTGGAACAATCTCCTTTTTCCCTGCAGGGCTTTATACATTTCTAGAACTATCTCCTTCCCCTAAGCCCCAGTCTTTAATTACCCTAAATCCTTTACCAGCCAGTGTCCACACTGGGAAATCAGTCTGCTGTCTCCTTCATTTCTAATACCATTTCTATACTCCACCCATTCATAGTGACTTTGGCTGTAGCTCTTAGTAGTTTTAAAAGTGAAAGGGGTTATAGCCAATAGTTGCAATAGGAAGTAAGGTCACTTTACACTTGTATAATGACTATGTTTATATAGCTGTCCCATTTTGGGACCATGTCACATATACTTTTTCTTCGCTTCCCCAGAGAATAACTCATTAAGTTTTCAATAAGGGGACAATAAACAAATATCCTAGTTTACAATTAGCCCTTGTGAGTTTGGCTAAAGTAGCATAAATTCCTACAGGGTGGCTCCTGGGAAAAATCAAGTTTCTGAACCAGTAAAGAACAGAACCCAGACCAGTGTTGGTCCCAGTAAGATAAAACTCGACCTATAAAGCAAACTTTTAAAACTAAAGTTGCTACTGCCCTGGATTTTGAAAAAATAACTCCTTTGCCAGTTCTTGGACTTAATGTGAACAGTGATGAAGTACATAACAGCTTGAACTGTTTTGTTTGCCAGAGGGCAAGAGGCTAACTGATAGATCTGTTTTCCCGGAATGTGGGTAAAGAATGGGCAATGTTTTGACAACAGATAATCTAACCAAGGTGAACCATCATTTTACTGCTACTGCTTCAGTTTCACAGAATAAAATGTCTGCACATCCATGACTAAGTAAGTAACCAAATGTACGATATTTGCTTTGAAAGTGACCTTAAGAAAAGTCCTCATCTGTTCTTTCTTCTATTTCTCTTTCTTCACAGTCTCTTTGGGTGAAGATACCATAAAAATCTACAGTGCAAAACCTTTGAATTGTGCATATACACATGCAGGTAGCAGATGCTCTAAGAGAGGTCTACAGAATGGGTCACTTGGGTAAACAAACAAAAATTATGAATAAGAGACAACCAATCATCTACTTAATGTACCAATTGTAAAAATGTAGCTAAGAATGTGATAAGAAGTGAAGGCAGAAGTAGGTGGGGCCTAAATAAGAAGAATCTTGCATATACAAGGACCTCTCCAAGGATGTCAGTTTAAAGACAAACGTATGCCTGATCCAAGCCATGGTCTTTCCAATTATTTCCTTGTGAAAGTTAGACAATGACTAAGGATAATAGAAGAATATCTGCCTTTGAGTTGTGGTGTGGGAGCAGAGTACTGCATAGTCCATGGACTGCCAAAAGAATAAACAAGTCTGTCTTGGAGGAAGGGCAACCAGGGTGCTCCTTAGCGGCAAGAATGGTGAAACTTCATCTTATATTCTTTGGACGTGTTGTCAGAAGGGGCCAGTCATTTCAAAAAGGCATCTTACTGTGGAGGACGGTCAGAGATAGAGAAGACATCCAACAAGATGAATTGATACAGCAACTGCAACCATAGGTTTGGGTATATCAGAGGTGGTGAGAATGGCACAGGATCAGGCAAGGTTCAGAGCTGTTGTTCACAGGCCCTTATGAGACTCTATAAACAAAGAAAGCAACACAACAACTGCTAACAAGAAAACAACTGCTGATAGGCACATTCACACAAGCCTACTTAGATAAAACCAGGGACGGGAAAGGCCTGGTGGTCACTGAGTTTCCAGGCACTGGTAAATCCCTCTTACCCAGTGCTGCCACCTAATGATTTTTCCAAAGAAACAGAAATCTTGGATTTTATAAGAAAAATCTTCTAATTTGTAATGCTCTTACTAATTTAAATTGTTCTTAAGTTTTGTGGAGGCCAACACTGCACAGGACAAACAAAAGCCATCTGTGTTCCTTTCCCTTACCCACCCTTCCCTCCACCCATCAAATTCTGTGACCCTATCCAGCGTGAAAAACAATATATATGAACCCTATGAACTTTGTAAGTAAACGAGCTTAAAAAAAAAGCCATCTGCCTACGTGGCCCATGCAGCCTGGATGGACAAAGGAACATGACTCATCCAGCTTTTAAGCAAGTAAGAAACGTTTCCACTCAAAAAGATTGTACTGGCAACAGTCGGGGGTTGGGAAAGAAGAAGGCAAGACTGAAAGAATTCTAAAACTGCTCTTTTCCTTGCTCCTGACTGCCTGGGAAGTGTCTGTGTGGAGCAAAGAGTTCACAATCTCAGCTGCTGACAGAAAGGCTTAAGGCTCAAACCCATCCAGGGACACTTCTAAAAAAAAGCTGAAAGATCGGCTACTGAACTCTATGCAGCAATTCTATTCTGGTACAACGGGGTCTTCATGAGTCAGGGCCCACTCAAAACAACTGGTTTTAAACTGCCAGGAGTAGGGAGAGAACCTAGAGCAGAGTAAGAAGCAGATGGAGAATTAGT